GAACATGATGGCGTCGCCTTCTGCAACTTGCTCTCCCGCCAAGGGACCAACCCTCCCCCCCTTCTTGCTGTCTTTGCGGTTGCGCTCCATCTTGGCCAGCCACTCCATCTCGCACCGAGCGTACTCGACCCACAGTCCGCCATCTACAGTGCAGAATCGGCAGCCGCGCATGAAATATCCCCTCGCAGTACCCATATCGCCATTCTTTGCGGCCCTGCGTCCTGCTAGCACCCAGAGCTCTGCATCGCGTGGCATAAGTCTCAGGGCGCGGGTCATAGTCCTCCTCCATCTCTTGGTAGCCCTGATTCGTTCAGTATAGGTAAGATAATCGAGCCAGAGCTCCTTTGATGCAGGGCGTTTCGTGACGGCTCGCTCGTAGATAGCCAGAACCCGAGCCTGAGTGGCATGCTGCGAAGCGACGTGACGGATCTTGAGGCGTTCGCAGCGCTTCACTCGCAGGGCATCAAGTGAAATTTCCCAAGCGACATAATTGGTGAAGTCGGTAGGTTGGACGCCCGGTGCAAGCGCCCGGTGCTCAAAGTCGCTGCGGCGCTGTACAATGTTGCGAATTTCTTCCTATAATCTGTTAGAGCTCGTGGCTGAAGAATGGTAGTGGGGGTTATTGTGTACCTTGGTGAAGATTTCCTTCGCCTCCCATTCTCGCAACTGAGGAACCGACCGCTCCAAGTAGAATCGAGCTTTCTCTGCAACACCCGCCATCTTGATATTGATCGACTAACTGGCGTAAGCTGTCAAGTCGGTTAAGTACCGTACGTGAGGAGGCAAGCTATTTTACCAAACCTCAGCAATTGGAAAAAGTTCGGCAGCCGCCACCGAAAGTTAAAGTGGGGCCTGAGATAACACATCTTATCTGCGTGCTAGTCCAGAGGAGGATGGAGGCTGCATTCGTCCAGCAATTGGATGCTCGAATTGGCTGGAAGACAAGGTAAGGTGCTTGAAGCAGGTACCTGCCTACCTAAGGTCGGTAGGTACGGTACTTTAGAAACCTACCTAGGTAGGCACTTAGGTAGGTAGTCACAAGCAAGCCAAACACAGCGAACACGACACAACACGCGATCCTTGCTTCACTTCTCCTTCCCATCTGTCGCCTCCATATTCCCAACGCTCTTTTAGTCGGCCACGGCGTCCGCCCCCGTTTTCTTCGCATCCGGACTGTTCGGATGCTGTTTAAAAACTTCTATTGCTGCTTTTAATCCTGTCGAAATGTCGTCGAGGTACAAGGATAAAGACGGAGGTGTCGTGCTGGCTTTCGGTGGCCAGTGGGTGAGTTGGTTGCATACCACCGTCGCCTACAGTACGTGCCCCTCGCCTCTGGTGGCCAGCTCTCCCCATTATTTGATGCATCACTGACCGTTTTAGCTGCCTTCATCAGCGCATTTATCGTCGGTGTCTCTCTCCACTACAAGAAGATCGTCCAGAATGAGTGGTACGGGTACCCTGAAGAGTGGTTCCCCTCCGTTTCCGCAACCATTGGCGACAAATATCCCGAACGGTCCTTCTTTATGCTCTTCATCGCTATCACTTCAGGTCCTCGATTCGCCCTTGTCGGTTTATGGTATCTTCTCACCAGAAAGCCTGGTCAAACATTGCCCAAGTTCATCTTTACGATGGGCATCTTCCGAACACTAACCTGCGGTGGCTTCACCTACGTCACTTCGACTGACGACCACCAATGGCATGATATCTTTATGATTTCCTACATCGTTGCGACTCTGCCGTGGACTATTGGCTGTGTTGCCCTTAGCCCACCCAATCCTAAGGCAATCCGTTACAGGAAGATCATTGCCAGTTCCTTCTTTGGCACACTCGTGCCTCTCATCTACTTCTTCATTCAGCACAAGGTCCACCGAGTGCCCGGAGGTGAGTTGGCCGAAATACTGCACGTGCCACTGTGCTGACCAACGCAGCCTATACGACCTACGCTTTCTTCGAGTGGTCGCTCATTCTTTTCGATGTCGCCTTCGACGCTGTCACGGCTTACGACTTCAGAACATTCCAAGTGATCATCAAGGACGTTCAGGGCGCGAGCAAGGGGTACGTGCAATGGCTTCCGAAATAATATTGTACCTATCGTACATTTTCAAAGAAATAAAACGCGATAGGACTGGATTCTAAGTTTTGGTTCTAGTGAAAACCGGTCCTCTGTTCCCTCTGCGGTCCTCGAGAAGGAGTAAGTCGGTGGACATCCACTGGACCTTTGTCACTGTGGCACTCCGCTAATGACGAACACATAGGAAAGACAAGGCTTCTGCCGGCATCTTGTCCGTAAAATTTACTTGGACGGAAGCTATCGACACTGTTGCGGAGGTGTATCATGGCTACGTCTTTTGGACCATCCTTACCAGCCTGGGTGTGTCCGTTTGGTACTTCCCTTTGTGGTACATGGGTCTCTCTGGTTACGAAGTGGTCGTCATGGCCTCAGTTTCGCCACTCCTGTTATCCATTGGTCCTCTTCGCCGGATGGTCGTTGCCAACCAGCGTATCGTTCACCTACTTTCCCTATCAGCCATCGTGGCCTACAAGGTCGAGTCCCCAGTCTATCGCCTCTTTGCCGTCTCTTTCGGTGTCTCAATGGCCTGCTTAGGCTGGGCCACCACTTTTTATGCGGAGTCTGTCCATGAAGGAAGACTTGAGTCAAAACTCATGGCTCTTACTCTTGGTTTAGTCCTGTCTTCCGCCATCAAGTTTGCCTGGTGGACCAACAACCCTGTCTGGCCCATTATGCACGCTGCCAATGGAGGCTGGAACGGCATTGGAGGTATCCTTGCTACGCTAGCCGCCCTCCGCTTCACCCGCAAGGCGCCCCTAACAAGCGGCCAATCTGCCTCTGACCCCCAGCGTAGTGGGTCGTCTTTGCTAGCAGCTTTCGGCACTGGTGGTGTCCTCTTTGGCATGCACTGGCTCCTTTCCGACAGCAGCACCATGATTCTCTGGGTTTGGGAGGGCTACCCTATTCGTGGACCGACTGCCAACACATATGGCTGGCTGACGGGTGTCGCTATGACAGCTGGCGTGCTATTTGGTCAGTCCCGTCCCTCTTTGGTCACGAGTTGGGCTGCATATATTGCTGGCTGCGCCGGTGCTTATGTTGTAACCTACCACCACAACTGGTTTGGCTATTACGGAGCGCTTGCTTTGACGGTGTATCTCATGGCCATCGCGGGACCAATCATCAGCAGTGCTGCGAAGAGGAATCCCGTCGTCACTTTCGGCCTGGGTTTTCTCTTCTATAATTTCTTGGTCCTTTTCTCTGTCTGGGTTGTTGCCTACGCCTTCGTGCCTGGCGGCCCCTATGTGCGTGAGCACACCGATTGGGTCATGGCGACCATGATGCTGCTCATCGGCCTCGGTGTGCTGGGACTTGGCTCAACGACAGCACAGAGTCGCCGCAAGAAGGCCCAGCGCCCATCGGCCTCAGTATTCCAGCACCGTAAGTTTCACAGTGCCGCCGCTATCGCAGTCAACCTGTTCTTCCTCTCGGCTGCGTTCTTGCGTTTCCCAACCAACGATTACAAGCCGTATCACGGAGAAGATCGTGTCATGACGGCGGGCGTCTGGACGATTCATTTTGCGCTCGACAACGACATGTGGTCATCCGAGTACCGTATGCGTGATCTCATCAAGGAAATGGAACTCGATGTCGTGGCCCTCATTGAGACGGACTGTCAACGCATCATCATGGGCAACCGCGACACCTCGCAGTTTCTTGCGGAGGACCTTGGCATGTATGTCGATTATGGCCCAGGTCCCAACAAGCACACATGGGGCGTGGTGCTCCTTTCCAAGTATCCTATCCTCAAGTCAGAGCACCACCTACTTCCCTCTCCGGTCGGCGAGCTGGCGCCCGCAATTCATGCAACGCTGGATGTCTACGGCCGCGAGGTGGATGTATTTGTTTTCCACTCGGGTCAGGAAGAAGACCCCGAAGACCGCCGCCTGCAGTCACTTTACCTCTCGAAACTCATGGGCTCGACCCCGCGCCCCGCGATCCTCCTTAGTTACCTTGTCACCAAACCGCTCCAGGGCAACTACAACACCTATGTCAGCGATGTGTCGGGCATGCATGATGTCGACCCTTCGGACTGGGACCGCTGGTGCGAATACATCCTGTTCAAACGGCTCAAGCGAGTGGCGTACGCGCGTGTAAGTCGTAGCACCATTACGGATACAGAGCTGCAGGCCGCCAAATTTGTCATTCCCGCGACTGAAGCAGAGAGTAATGCGATCGAGGCTCTTGACGACGAGACCCGCAACCGTCGAGTCAATGAGGAAGACGTGCCTGTGGGTTGGAGATTCCCGGCACTGTTCCGAGGCAAGGGCGTCCGTGATCACAGATACCATGTTTTCGATGAGCCCAGATACTACAACAACTGAGGTTTCAATAACTGGAATGGGGCGGACATGGGTTGGAAAATATAGTCTTTCCTATGTTGTGTAAAATGAAAGATGTACAAAAGTGCTAGAATTCACAATTGATGATCATCACACCCAAACAACTAAGTTACACGCACACGTCCATGCGTGCGGTCAGGTCGTCCCTGATCCCGTGACATCATTGTCCGTGTCCTCTGCTCTTGGGGCATCGTTGAGCAAACCTTCAATCGATGAGAGGGCTGAAACAATAGTGCGCCTGGAACACAGTAATGTAGACCATGGCCGCAAATGCATTTTACGTCTCACATACCATCACGACTTGCGAAAGTTCGCCAGAACTTGCCATGCGACAACGGAGCAGCAGAACGACGATGAGGGATAAAATTTCGAAACCACTGAAAGGTGAGATCATGGAAGCAGCAATACCTTACGAATGCTCGACAGTTGGCCCGTACATGGTGCCTTCGGCGGCGGAGAAGTGACCCCACCTCAATCCAGTGTTCCGGTATAAGACCCACCGCGGAAAGCAGGCGTGGACGTCCAAGAGGCCCGCGCTGCTCCGCGTAATGCCGCCCGCGGTGAATAATGTCACCGCGATGATTGGGCGGCTGAAACGTACGCCTCAATCGTGGGGATAGATTAAGGTCAGAAAACGTATGCACAATCAATCTGCTACTTGGCCATTGATGAGCGTTCCGCAGATAGCCGTGGGCGGCCGAATGGGGCAAGTGACAGCGTCGTGGGGCTGGGGTAGTTTGGGGAACCGTCTGGGATAAGTTGGACCGTAGTAAGCCGAGCTTTGTTTGGGGCTGGGAACCCCGGATGAGGGAGGTGGATGTGTATAAGGTGTGTGGCCATGACGACGTGATGGCGGAAGACGTGCGGAGAGCTTTCTCTTATCTTCTCATCGGAGAGAGTCTAAATTCTTTCTCCCTTGTTGCTTCTCTCGAAAGCTGGGTTGGACTTCGTCCCTGCCAGTAGTTATATAAATCACAAACAGCGTGAACTTTGGACGATTCACCACGACCAACCTGATACTGGCACGATCCAGAAATAGAGCAGAATGGCTAACATCAGCCATCTGTGGTTCTGGCTTGGGTTAATCGCCGCCGCCACCGCGCTCTACGTACGTTATCAAAGCAATTCCCCATGTCAAGAAGACATAGTCTAACCAGAGGCATAGACGATAATCCTCATTGTCTATCGCATCTTCTTCCACCCGCTGGCTAAGTACCCGGGGCCACTCATTGCCAAGGTCACGGATGCTTACCAGTTATATCATGCCTGGAAGGGGGACCGCCACCTCGAGTTCTGGCGCATGCACGAGAAACATGGCAAAATCGTTCGCTTCGGTCCAAACAGCGTTTCTTTCAATTCAAACACGGCCCTCAAGGATATTTATGGCTTCCGCTCCAACGTTCGCAAGGCCGAATTCTACAACGCCTTCGTACACCCAGCCCCCAACACGCACAACACGCGCGACAAGGACGTACACGCGCGAAAGCGCCGCGTCATGGCTCAGTCTTTCTCCGACAACGCCATCCGTGAGATGGAGCGCTACATTCTTGCCAACGTACGGACTTTCACCACGCAAATCGGCGCTGGCGCCGATAATCTGGAGAAGAAGGGCTGGTCCACACCCAAGAACATGACGGATTGGTGCAACTACCTTGCCATGGATATCCTGGGTGATCTTGCCTACGGCAAAGCATTCCACATGCTTGAGGCTCCTGACAACCGTTTCGCGCTCGACTTGATTGCCGCTGCAACCAAGCGTCACTTAATCGTAGGTCTTATTTACACGAGAGTTGGGGTTTGATGACGTGCTGACGCTGAAAACTAGTGCGGTACCATGCCAATCGTCGACAAACTCAAGCTTGACAAGTTTCTGTTCCCCCAGATTGCCGCCGGCCGTGCTCGCTACATGGTATACAGCAAGGGTCAACTGACCGAGCGTACGAAGCTCGGCGACGATACTGACCGTCGCGACTTCTTCTACCACCTGCTCAAGGCCCGGGACCCCGAAACCGGCCAAGGCTTTTCTACCCGCGAGTTGTGGAGCGAATCTAACCTTCTGTAAGTGTTGCCTGCCGCTTGAAGAACGTTGGCAACTGACTAGCCGACAGTATTATTGCTGGTTCCGACACCACCTCGACTGCCATGGCCGCTACTCTGTTCTACATTACCCGTAGCCCGGCAGCTCTTCAAAAGGCTACAGAGGAGATCCGCAGCAAGTTTGGTGATGTGGAGGAAATCCACCAGGGACAGACCCTGAACTCGTGCTCCTACCTCCGCGCCTGCGTCGACGAGGCCATGCGTCTCTCGCCCTCTGTCGGTGGTCTGCTCCCCCGGGAGGTTCTCCCAGGTGGCTTGACGATTGATGGAGGCTTCATTCCCGCTGGCACCGTTGTCGGCACGCCCCACTACACCATTCACCACAACGAGAATTACTACTCGTCACCGTTTGCTTATGAGCCCGAGAGGTGGATTGTTGGCGCCACAAGGGCGTCGACGGGCCGCGCCACGACTGAGGTCGATTTGACCGCTGCACAGAGTGCGTTCTGCCCATTCTCCGTGGGTCCTCGCGGTTGCATCGGCAAAGGCCTGGCCTACGTCGAAATGATGGTCACACTGGCGCGCACTCTGTACTTATATGACCTGCGCAAGGCTGTCGGCGTGGTGGACCCTGGTGAGGGCAGCCCTGACTTTGAGTATGGACGTCACCGGGTGTCGGAATTCCAGCTGAGCGACACCTTCACCAGCGTCAAGGACGGCTGCCTCGTGGAGTACCGCAGGCGGGACTAGGATGAAATTGAACGAACGTGGTCAGCTTATCAATGTGCTGTGAAGTTGTCATTTGGGCACCTACCTAGGTACCTACCGTAGGTAGGTAGGTACCCAAGGAACACAAAGCAGCTGGAGTGGAGGCCTGAGCTGGGCGCTCGGTTCTGGTGTACGGTGTTATGGGCTAGTATATGAAAATTGCTCTCACGAATTGAATTGATGCATTGAGAATTATCTAGATTGAACTTCTCGATATGATCTTGGCCTACTTTCGCTTCACATTGTATCGGAACACTTTGTGGTTGATGTTAGTGAGATAATGAAGTACTGACAGTGCGAGATGCTGGGTATTTGTGACTTTACGAACTGTATCATTCCCCGCTTTCGGCACTCAGAACGCGTCCGCTCGTGCAAGCAAGGCTGAGCTAGAAAGGCTGAACCGCGTGAAGAACGTACCTACCTACCAATCAACCCAAACTACCTACCTACCTATTGACCTCCATCGCTACAACAAAGCCAAGCACACAAGTCTGTGACCAGAACCCATATCAACATTCTATCTGGACGCCCGAAATGAACTCGACGAGACGGGTATAACCCTCTACTTCTGCCTCCTCTGACCTTGCCATGGTTATCTGCAAATTTTGGGATGCAGGCAACTGCAGGTTTGGACGTGCGTCCCCCACTACACAGGAGCGACTGCTCTCTTGACGATGCATCTAAATACCCGTCTTATCGGCATTGCTCACGCATTTTCTTAGAGAACTGTCGCTTTGAACACCCAAACACAAACCGAGCCCAGACTAGCAATCGATTCTCAGCCTTCAACAACCTGTCAAGCGGGGGTGGATTCGGTAACGGAAGCAGCGACAATGGTTCGTAGCAGAAACTGACGATAAAACAATTACAGTGGTTAGAATGGCTGATTTAGAATAGGCTCAAACACATATTCAATAACCAAAGAGACTATCGAGAAAGACTTGACGACAGAGCGACCACAATGGATTCTTTCTGCGTATGGTCCTGGCCGGGACGCACCCGAGCAGCTATTCGGAGGCAGTGCTCGAGAACAGAGCTTCGAGGAGATGCGACTGCATCACGTACTGGCAGCGTCCAAAGGCAGTCCACAGCAGGCAGTACGAGAAATAAAGCTTATGACGTCTATAGACCCGGCATTGGCTGACCGTCTCTAGCTCAACGAAGCGCAGCAATTATATCAACAAGCCGAGCAGCAGATCCAGACGACGGTCGGAAATCTCGACGGTGCGATACAGTTCATCATTGGCGCTGGAAACAATCATCCGAATCGAATCGACATCTGCAAACAAAACACACTGCCCGGCGGCACCACTGGCGAATTCCTTAAGGGAAATAGGGCTCAATCTTCCTTTTCGCAGGCCAGCCCCTTTCAGTCTAATTCCGGCACCAACTCCTCGAACCCATTTTCAAGCAGTGCACAATCCTCTTCTGCATTCGGTGGCAACACTCCATCTTCTAACACTAGTAACCCATTCGGCCAAGCACATAACTCTGGTGCTAGCACCTTTGGACAGCCCTCGAGTACCAGTGCCTTTGGGCAGCCCAATGCACTCGGCCAGAAGCCCAGTCCCTTTGGTACGCCCGCGTTTGGACAAGCTTCGCAACCGACGTCAGCGTTTGGACAGCCACCGCCAACTACTTCAGCATTTGGAAAGCCAGCGTTTGGCCAGCCGGCTCGACCTACTCCAGCTTCCAGCCAGCCAGGCCAGCCCCCGACGACATCAGCGTTCGGACAGGCGTCAGCATTAGGCCAAAAGCCCAGCCCATTTGGGGCACCAGCGTTCGGGCAGGCGTCGCAGCCAGCGGGAGGCTCCGGTGCTTTTGGTCAGACGAGCACATTAGGACAGAAGCCGAATCCATTTGGGAACCCAAGTACGTCAAGTCCATTCGGCGCGGCGGCGAACAACTCCAACTCGAACACCACGGCAAGTCCATTTGGAGGCACTGTCAAGCCAGCAAGTCCTTTCGGCGGACAGAACCAGCAAGGTGCTTCGCCTTTCGGCGCACCATCCCAAACTGCTGTGTCTAATCCTTTCAGCCCATCACCGCAGCCTGCGACTTTGAGCCCGTTTGGACAGCCGACGAAATCAGTGACGGCCAGCCCTTTCGGACAACCTGTCCAAGGTACTGGTGCAAGTCCTTTTGGCCAGCCTGCGCAGCAGCCCGCAGTGAGCCCCTTCGGACAACCGACGCAGCCTGCAACGACCAGTCCGTTTGGCCAGTCGGCTCAGCCATCTGTCCCCACAGCAAACAGCCCGTTCGGTCAGTCCTCACAGTCTAGCGGAGCGCCAGCAGCAACTCCCTTCACGCAGGCAAGCCATCCATCTCCATTCGGCCAAGCCTCAAGCACGACAGGCAACCCACCTTCCTCTAATCCTTTCGGCGGCTCTAACAACGGGGTTCAAGCTGCAAAACCAGCAGCGGCAGTGGCAGGCAGCGGCGGAGGCGCAGGCCCATATCCGCCAGGAAGCTCCAAACAGCATCCTGACTTATCATCTTACGCCACCAAGAATATGGACGGTCAGCTGGCACAGTGGAACGGCAAGACAGTCACATATCAAGACGGCCGTCCAGGGACAAGAGCATTTAACGGGTCCTGGACAAGAATATGGTTTCCCGACGGAGCACCAGCGTACTACAAAGACACTGAGCTTCCCGTCGAGGCTTATGATGAGAAGTCAAAGGCACAATGGCAGTCTTTTGCTCAAACAGGTCGTTTTGAGGGAGGCCTGATGCCCGAATTGCCTCCTATGCGGGAAGCATGTTTATGGAATATATAACGACAGTCTTGTAGATATCAGAATTGGCACAGTGCCTCATAAACAGTCAGAATGGACGCATCATCCTCAACTTCGGTTTTTATCATGGCATGATAGCACTCAAGTTGGAAAATGACGAGTGTCATGGGGCTTCTCCAGGGGACACGCTACTGTTGTATGGCAATCTGTACGGGCCACACATGTAATGGTTGGTGCAAGGCATGGATGAGACATCACAATTGATCAACCATTACTTTGATATCCTTTTATTGTTCCCCGGCCACTATGCAGCAACCGGGATCTAATTCGCCACATCTACTCGTCCTCTTGAACAATCCGACGAATACACAGCTGTGAAGACGACAGATTTCGCGTCGTCATCAGCATATCCCAGTGTACTGGCGGTTGCCCGCAAAGAAAGCTAGGCTGTGTGCGGGAACGAGAATGTGCTGCACAAGTCGGACCATACCGCTTAAGCGGCGATGGTAACCTCAACCTCGACACCAGCCTCGATGTTGACAATGATCTGCTTGACAATCTCGGTGGGGGCGTTGAGGTCGATGAGGCGCTTGTGAATGCGCATTTCGAAGCAGTCCCAGGTCTTGGAACCCTCACCGCAAGGGGTCTTGCGGGTAGTGACCTTGAGGGTCTTGGTGGGAAGGCGGACGGGGCCCTTGGCTATTCGCAAGTGATTAGCATTCGGTGCGCTCGTAGTCCTACATCGAGCTTGGGGTGCGTACTCTTCAGGTCCTTGGACTTGGCACGCTCGAGGAGCTCAGTGCAGGTCTTCTCGAGAGCCTGGACCTTGCGGGAAGACAGAGTGATTCTGATCTTGTGGGTCTTGACCTCAGCGCCGGGGGCACCCTTCTCCTCTGCCAGGAAATGTCAGTCCGCAGCTCGAGACGCCTGGATATTGGCCGGCTTACGCTTGTACGACATGGTGATGGTATTGGTTGGATGGGCTCTTCACGACTCGAACGGTAGACGTTTCTGTTCCAATGTCAGTAATCCGTCGATATTATCAAAGGGTTTTAAGTTGATGGTAGATCCTGCGCTCTGATTTGACAGCTACACGTACCGGCAAAGTGATGAAGGCGGATTGGCAAGTGTAGCTTTGAGGGGTAAAAAGAGACTGAGATCTGGATCGCGAACTTTTTCGTGGAGTTCAAACAGAATTGTGGAGCCGGTAGGGCTTGCGTGAAGGAAGCGCTAGTATGAGTTCGGATTAGTGTGGGGTCATTCTCCCCAGCTTGTACCTAGGTATCTTTCCCAGTATCATCCACATCGCGCATCAGGGATCATGATGATTCATCCGGCGACGTAAGTCTGAGTTGCTGGAGCTTCATTCATACAAAAGACGTCGCGAGCTTCACGGGAACAAAAGGGGAACTGTTATGGTTCATCGGTTACTCCGTTGCAGTACAATCATGGTATCCTCTCAAGTTCTTCCTCCGTTGGCGCCCTTTCCCCCTCCTTCACTTCGCTCACACCTCAGTCAGCAAGACTGGGATGCTCTACTCGATGCATGGGACATATCGGCACGGGCATATTGTTCTCAGGCCGATGACATTATTTCGCAGGCCGACAGCTTACCTCTCTTCTTGACGTCATTCATTCAAGAAATTGCGCCGACGGGCCCTTCCTTCATATTAGGCCCCTCACAGACAGCGAAATCACTCCTCAACTCAACCCTCAACCTCTTTACCAGACGAATAGCTGTCAATCCACCACCGGAGCTTACGAGATGGCAAGTTCTCGCCGATGCTTCTAAGCTTTACACCAAAGCTCACATTTCGGTCTCGCTTTCAATGCTCTTCTCGACACAACCCGCTGTCCTAGAAACGAGCCTCTCGCCCCTGAAGAAATCTCTTATCACGCAATTAGATGCGGGCTTCAAAACCGACATCGTGACCCTGGAGAGAACACTCACGAGATTGAATCATTTAATACATGCTTCACGTCATGTGGCTACCTTCATCCTGGCAGGTAGCGATCTCCTAGATGGTCTCGTCACGCGATACAAGATTATGAACCCACCGCTCAGGAAAGTCATCATCGCAACGACATACCTTTGTCTTGTTGGGCTCACGGAAGACGGCAATTCCAGAAACACAGAAAGTACAGAAACTGGGAGTAACGGAAACGGCAAAGCACGATGGGGCATGCTCGCAGATTCTCTCTTCGAACTCACATCCATCGCTGAGGCGCATCGCTCCGGGCCTCTCAACGTCAATGATTCTCTCGTTGCCGAGCTCGTCAGCGCGACACCTTTGCTAGCCATCCTTTTGCGGCGCGCAGAAGCTGCTGGCACATTATCACCTACATTGAAAGCTAGGCTTGAGACTCTGCAGGGCTTCAAGAAGGCAGGTGTTGGCCCCTCGCGTCCACGAGCAAAGAGAAGGAGACAGAAGGTTGATAAGGGGAAGGGCGTTGCGGACGGCGATGCTGGTATGGAGATGCACATTCACAAGATGAGCCAAATTGCAGTAATCCAGGACCTGTTTCCTGATCTTGGATCCGGCTTTGTAGCAAAATTGCTCGAGGAGTTCGGCGAGGATCCCGAAGCAGTCATTGCTAAGCTTCTCGAAGACGATTTGCCACCAGCATTGGCGGCTGCGGACCGTGCCGAGCTGTTGTAAGTTTGCCGAGCAGTCACATCCCAAGCCGCTGTATTAAATACTGACATCCTTAAGATCTTCCCAATCTACCATCGAATCACTTCCGGAGAATACTACGGCCCCGCGCTCGGCACCAACCCAGTCACAAAACCTAAACCTTCCCCAGCGCCGGAATATATTCGATGATGACGAGCTCACCAGCGAGATGACAAATCTTCACTTCGGCAAGCGTAATCCAGCAAAGACTGCTGACGACGTCTTAGCCGACCGCAAAACAGCACCCAACAAGGCAGCTATCATGTCCGCCCTCGCAGCTTTCGACTCGGACGATGACGAGCGCGACGATACGTACGACGCCGATGATGTGGGCGGCGCGGTGGACACAGCTGCTGGCGGAGAGGACGAGGTTGACGGGAACGCCAATGAGGAGATACTCTTCCGCGGTTGGCAAGCTGATCCCAAAGTCTTTGACCGCGACGCAAGCACAAGACGAGGTGACCCCCGCGGGAAACTGCGGGAAGTTACGGGAATGACGGACGAAGCTATCGAAGGCTGGGCTGTCATGCTGGGTAGAAACCTACGGTTAAAACGACGCCTGGAAATCAAATATAACACGTTCACTGGCATCCAGACGGAGTTGGCAAGCACATCTTGGCGGGGAAGAGGAGAAGATTCGGGGACTGATACTGGGGTTCCATCATCTTTTCGGAGGAGTAGAGGCGGCGGCTCGGATAGGGGACGAGGAAGGGACCGTGGCGGTGGCTCTGGCGGCGGCAGCGGCAATGTCGCTGGTCCGGCAAGTGATAAAGATACAGAAGCTGCGCGGCGTAGGAAAGAAGCAAACAAGGGGTCCAAGGCGAATCACAACCGCCGGGATCAGAGAGCCAAGAAGATGGCGAGGGGTGGCTTCCCTGGTTGATGTATGGACGGCGGTATTGCTAGAGCAGCGCTATCTAAAAGCCAAAACCAAGACAATCTCATGGTTTCCATTGAGGAATCTTGGCTCTCTTGCCAGCGGGATTGGCACTTCCCGCGAGGGGCAAATCCACAGCCTGTCTCTTAGTGCCAACACCTGCGTCGGCAGATACCTCGTAAGGCTCTTCAATGTTCAGCGTCGTGGCGTATGGGCTTTTGACGTCCAAAACTTTGGGAGTGCTGGATACCTGCGCAAAACTAAAACTTCCAAAGAGGTTCGCTGGTCCTGCAGGGGAAAGCCCGTACGACGTACCAGGGAAGCTGTTACCGACATCCTCAGTCCCAGCATGTCTTAACCAGTATGACTGGTCTTTCGGCGTCGCCAGTTCGCTTGGACTCTCTGTGATGCTCATCACATCCGCGCGTGCGACACGTTCACTGTCCATCACACCGCCAATCATGCTCCTCAACGACTCGCGACTGCTGCGTCGGCTGTCAAGGTAGTTTCGAAGATCATAACAGCGTCGACACCCTGGATATACTGGATAACGCTCACAGTCGTCACAATCAGCCGGAAGCTGGGGTCTGGACTGCTGAGCGCAGCGCTCTTGTATGTCATCGAATAGATCCGTAACAGGTGTAAAGTATGCAACGCGCGGACCAGGACCATAGTATGCATTTCGGCCCCAGAGTTGGCCCAGCAATGCGCTAGATTCAGCGTCCACGATGGCAGCGCCGCTGTCGCCTGGACAGCCCATGCCGCCACGGATCCATTCATCATCTTCTGGTTCATCCTCACTTAAGAGCTCCTCAATGAACCATTCTCTGGTGGCTTTGCCTGTACCGTTGGACGCAGCTGAGACATAGGCAGGCACCTCACAGATCTGACCCCGTTGTGGGCCTGACGTCCGCCCTGTTGAGTAGACGATGGTACCTGGTGTGATCGGGGCTGTGTCTTTGATGATTTCCTGCTTCATAAGTGGCATTGTTCCGGAAGGGAAGCGTCGCAACACGTTCGCATTTCGAGAAAGAGAACTGATAAGAATCCAGTCGGTCACAATAAGAGGGGGTTCCTTGCCACACTCGTCCCAGTAAGGGTCGTGGGACACCCGAGTAGTTTCCAGGTCGAGACCAGACGTGGCAGTCAGCGTGCCGAGTGAGAAGTCCACCTCAAGTGGCAAGGTATCATGCTCCTCTACCATGCAGCGTTCACGGTCCATAGGAGATGGATGTTGAACAGCAACTGCCTGGGTGTGATGGAAGGCGTTGATGAACGGATGGAAGTTGGCGAGCCAGTAGGCACCACCCCCCACGATTACACAGGGACCTAGTGTTGCTGTGGTGTCGTCGTAGGCCCGGGTGCCCTCGATGCCAATACTGTCCCCCATACAGGGTTCCCTGAAGTAGAATGGGTTGCGGGGCAGGCAGGTCTCGTCTGGCATGTCGCTAGCTAGGCCCCTTGCCCAGACAAGCCTTTCCACAGCACCAGTGGAAAATAGAAAGCTGACAGTCATCTTATAGGTCTCCGGAAGAAGATCACGGACGTGGCCGGCAATTGTTACACGCCGAACCCTGGAGACGGGCTTCTCTGTCATGATACAGACGCGACGAGTGCCTTGAGTTCTGCCCCTGGTGATGCTTATGGTGTGCTTGGGCCCGCACCATGATGGGACGAACTCGATGAGGAAAGGCAACACGCCGTGCTCCCAAACGATCGGGAAGCTCACATTGTCAACAAGCCTCTGAAGGGTACTTGGCGACGCCGATCCGCCTGGCGCTTACGTATCAGTAAGCGCACTGATTTGGAATGACATGATGATTGACGAACCCTTAAGTTTTGCTTTTTTCGTTACAAGATCAAACAACTGCCCGCGGCACCGCCGCTTCACCGCATCAACAGATTGGGTGCGACATCTGTCGTCGTCAAGTCGATGGTGTTGTTGGGCGGAAACGTTTATTTCAGGTGTCTTGCCAGGGAGGTGTGGCGACGGTCTTGTTGTCTTTCGAACTTCCATGGCTGTCGGTGTCTCGGGCGACGCTTCGTCTCCATGACGCTGCTTCCAAGATACAGGATGAGCGCATCTAATGTGGGATTCGAGCATTTTCACACTCTGTAAAGTATCCTCAAGGCATCCAGGGACAGGACAGACAACCAGGTGTTCGAGTTTGACGTGCCACGCGAGGCCATCTTTAAAGGAAAAGCTCGGCTGGCTGCAGCCGGTCCAATTACAAGTGTGAGTTTGTTGCTGCTGAGATTGACTTCTTGAAGGCCCCTGCGCGCCGAAGGACTGCCGATGGCAATGTTTCTGGACAGTGTGTGGGATAATATCGATGGTCTTCCCCTCGCTGACCACGGCGAGGGTAGCAGACTGGTCGCATGGGCTTGGTCCGCGTGAAGAGGTATCCCATCCAGCTGCGATCCAGTCCGCGGAAGATATTGTACAGACAGGTGACAGAACGGAGCCTGAACCTGATCCGTTCGAGGAAAGCTGCGAAATTGTTGACGGCGCGATGGAGCTGACTCTGCTCACAGCTCCTCGGGGGCTGTACGTGCTGATTTTCGGGTAGTCATGGCCCAGCGTTTTCAATACATCAAGTCCGAGGGGCTTGGGTCCGCAACTGACAGGCTCAGGGTTGGCAATCGTTGGTTCTTCTTGAACAAGACCACGAGTCCAAGAAGAATCAACATCGCCAGTGTATATGGTAGGGTGGATTGCATGGTACACATCGCTTCGGGAAATCATGGCAGGTTCTGTCGTCTGCCAGTCGGATAGCGACTGGTGGTTGTGGAGGGGAAAGGTTAACCCTGCAGTTGCACATGGTGCCTGGGTCTCGACGACGCAGGGTGGTGTCGGTTCCTTGACCACCTGTTGGTCCCGTTTGCGCTTCTTCAGCAAGTGCCTGATGGGGGTAGATTCCATTTTAGCTTCCCCAGTCAAGTTGAAGAAAAGGGGGGCGCAAGAGAGCGCTTCAGCGAGAATCATATGCGACAAAGCCAGTAGTGCGATTGAGCAGCAGTTGCAAATTCGACAGACCGTCGCATGTAGGAATGAACGAGAGACTCGAACGGACTCGAATGGCCTTGGGGTGTGACACGGCAGGCGCGATGACGGCTCGCCCGCTGGTCTTGTAGATTTTAGGCAGCGGCGCAGCAAGGCGAACCGCCGGCTGCCTCACTTGCTTCCTCCACCAATAATCGAGGGATCAGGACATCCAACTCTCATCGCCACACAATGCCTCCATATACCTAGGTAAGGTACCTTACTTAGGTAGGTATTTGGATACGAGTGTCGATGGCACACCATCTGCCCTGAAAAACGGAACGCCGTGGGCATTTCTTTGGCTTGCTTCGGTACCTTAGATGAGCAGTGCGCATATGCCCATGTCAGCCATCGCCCTCCGCCAATCCCAGTGCTGTCCGGGGTGAAGACTGCGGTGATCCCAGCACTGTCGTATGGTTTCGTTCACCGTCTTACAGTTTCCGAACGACGCATCCGACTCAACGAGAACCTCGGACACCACATCCTCGAAAAATGCCTGCTGATATGGCGCCGCCATGCTTCCTGCAACACAAATAGGCCAGGTGAGTTGACGGATCGATAATGCAGCTCGAGGCATGCGCCGAATCTCGCCAATGACGCGGGCCACGGTTCTCTGGCCCTCGGCCGGTTCAGACAGTGCCAGACTCGCTCTTGTCGCGTATAGTTGCACAAGCGCCGCCGTCGCGAAGATACGAGTCACATGACTGGCTGGATTGTTCGCCTCGTCTCGAAGGTTTAATCCTTCCGTGCCAGCCTCCAACTCGTTCTTGATCTTCCTGGCCCGACGAATCCAGTCCAATAACGCAACCTCCGTCTGACCTTTGAGGCTGACCTTTCGCTCCTCGAGCACGGCCAAATCACCGATAGCTTTCATGACCCAGTTCTGACACCCCATGATTTTGGTCATGTCGAATCCTTCCATCTGTAGCCACGTCTCATAGGGGAGGAATGGGACGTTGCCAGTCGAAGCGCACGCCAGCAGGTCCATCCATAAAAGTACTGGCGCGTGGAAGGATAGCGCAGCATCGATGCCCCGCCGTTCCCTAGCGGAGCTTGAGATGAAGGACTCTATCCGGCCAGAGGCATGGAATACCAGCCGAGAGAGGTTCATCGTCTTCATAATGGCGGTTGTTGCTTGCAAGTGAGGCTGCCAGTCGCCCTTCCCGCCCCGAAAGACCTGTATCGCAGCTGAGCTGACTATACAATCATGTTCTTCAGCGAGCCTAACTTACCTCAAAGCTGATCAGCGCCAATCCACAAGCGATCACCTCGATGAAGTCCTCGTCATCTTTAGAAATGGCGTCCCCCTGAGGCTGTCCAATGAAATCCTGCAGGCCTCTGAGGGCGCTGGTGTGATACTCTAGTAGCACATCGTTGTGCCTCAAGTCTTCGTTAACAGCACACATCAGTGAGTGCTTATGCAACGCAGCGAGGCTCAACGCAGCCTTGTACAAAGGCCCGTTCTTGTTCAATAACCAAAACAGCCAGCCCCGACCCCATTTTCGATTTGAGTAATGAGTGTACTGCATGGGGAAAATGCGGTCGAGGTAGTACATGAGCAGCTCGGACTCCTCGTATGACGGCGCCAAGTGTTTCCTGGTGCTGTCCTCCGAGTCAGGTACTAGCCCCAGGAACGTGGCTAGATCATCTGAGAAAGGGAAGTCAACGGAGAGAGGATCATCTGGTAATAGAAGATGAGGGGTGATGGCGCCAGCCTCCTTCTGTAATGTGGTGCTCTCCTCGTCGCAGGCGGGCCTTTCGTTGGCCGCCTCCAGACCTCGAGTCTGCGCAGCTCTGACCTGTTGCCGTCTTAGCTGCTTGAAGTTTTTCTTGATGGCTGCCTTGATGCGTTGCGTTTCCTCTTTTTGCTTGACGCCGCCATCCATCCATGGTGGGCGCTGGCCGTACCCATGACAAATGACATGCCTGGTGCTGCATTCCTCACAGGTTGGCGACGCTGCGTCGCATTTGACGTGTAGCAGGCGACACGTCCAACAGCCCGTTCTCGATCGGGAGCGCATTGGGCATGCGCGGATTGGACATGCTGGCAGGAAACACAAATTCGGATAAACAGATGTCGATGCCAGATCAGGGGAGGAATTTATTATGAAATCGAAGCATAGGCTCCTAGCCCCGCATTCTTGTTTTACGACTCGAGTGAACTAATTCCACCAAGTACTTTACTTAGTCTCTTAGCGCACTCGCTACTTGAGCCTGTGGATTGCCCATCCATCGTCTGACACCTCGCAAGCTGCTGTCGATTCAGGTTCCATCTATTCATACCTTAGTCTATCAACCGCATGACTGCCGTCGAGCGCCCATTCAAAGCCTTGGCCACGATGTCGATCATTAATTGATCTTGCGGAAGCCGTCCTTCTGACGGATACTTCTCATGGTGTTGGCGCTTCTTGAGGCGGCCCTGCCATGTCCACCGGCCGGTTACCTATCATTCGGACTACTGCCGAAGGCTCACCATTGGAGAACACCTTGATGCTTTCGACTTTCAAGGTTAGCTCACTAGACGAACAAGTCCCTTCGAGATGAATGTGTCGCACCTCGATGACTCCGATCGCCTCGGCATTGACACTGGCGACATTAACTGTGAGATTGGCAGCTTGAGCATGACTTGGCGGATTTTCCAATCGGAATGAGCTCGCCAGAGAATCTGATGACAACGATGGAGTCAATGGAGGGCTTGTTCGATGTCGCGTTGCCGTTTCAAACGCATATGCATATCTCAGAAGGTCACCGTGGGTGTAAGCCCTGCCAGCAAAAGCCAGTCCGACAGGCATTTGCTTGTCTGCCATGATCCCCGTGGGTACTTTTATGGCCGGAACGCTCATGTGCTTTAGTGCTCGCGTGCCATTCGAATACTTGACGCCGTCACGCAGCGCGTGCTGCATGGACGAGACCACCTCCTCGGCATCGGCGCGTGGAACGTCTCCGTTGTTGGGAAAACGACTGCATCACAGCCGTGCTCATCGAGCCCAGAACCAAGATCTTGTTTCCGAGCAACTTCAAGGGAGTGGAGGGCCTCAACACACTCGGGAAGGTCATGAATCGATTCTGGGCTATGGCGGATGTAATCAATCATGTCGGCGTATCGGACACGGTTTCCAGCCTCGGTATGTTTGCAGGGGTCGTCCAAGGGCGCATAGAAGGGCCGAACCTTTAGTCTTCGACAGTAGCTAATGTCTTGCAGTTCGGCGCATCGTTTGTGCGGAGGAAGTTATCCCAACCAAGAGCGATCATCTGACATCGCTCGATATCATCCAGCCCTCCGGCATGCCGGGAACATGGGCAGCCTGACCGGGAAAGTGCTGCTTGGTATAATTCTCCACCAGGGGGGAATCCGTCTCAACAACGCTCGCTCCAAGTGTTTCCAGGTCTTTTTTAGCCTGAAGCCACAGAGCCCGGATAGAGTCGGCGAAGGCAGGATCATCCCTAGCTGTTGTAGTTCCTTTGCCGATATAACATTTGGGGACGGCTAGCCGCTTTTCTTTCAATGCTGCGGGGTCCATGAGGCTGGAAAAGCTCTTTGGGCGGATTTCGGATGATTTGTAAATCTGACTCGTCTCCTGTGTCCTCCAGAAGTCCCCATCCGACGTGGGCTCGTCTGTCATGACGATGTCCAAGACAGCCAACATATCCTCAACGGTTTTCGTGTGTGGTGTTAGAACATCACACGTAGGGTACAAAGGCCACACATCCCTGCAAGGAACTTCCCCCTGGGAAGGAGAGTACCCGACGATGCCGTTGATCGACGCCGGTGCGCGTCCTGAGGAAACGGTCTCGCTACCGAGCCCAATGGGCGCAAAGCCTGCCGCTGTAGTGACACCCGAACCCGAGGAGGACCCCGAAGCGTAAGATGTGCACACGTATTCCTGGTTGGAAGGACTTTCGGTGCGCCTAAAATACCCCCGCTGACTCCCACCGTCAGCCATAGGGGGCATGTTCGTGCGGCCAAGGAGGATTGCGCCCGCCATGCGTAGCGATGCTACGATAGCGGCATCGGAGGTGGCGATAAGATCTGTAAATGCCGGAGAGGCCGCGGCGGCGGCAAGCTCTTTGGTACAATAGCTGTCCTTAACTGTGAGCGGTATACCCTCAAGGGGGCGGGGCGGTTTTCCCTGATGCGCGGTATTCGTCTGAAGCTTGGGCTTCGGCTAGTACATTTGGATTAAGGACACAGATGTATTTTAGATGAGGGCCACGAAAGTTGAAACGACCGATACGATGGAGGAACAAGGTGGTGAGCTCGACAGACGTAGTGGCCCTGGAAGCGAAGGCCCCAAGAAGTTGCGCGATGGAGGCATCGGCGATGTTGATGTTGCTGGCATTCATGATTGACATATATAGTATAAAGAACCGAGAGAATTATTGCTTCAAGTTCGACTACGAGTGAGTGATTCCCAGACATCGCTTTGTACTCGAACCATCAGATTTCTATTGTTCATGGACGTGCAAGTCGTGAACATGAAACTCGCGAGGAAGGTCGTAGCAAGTCAGTCTGTGGTCTTGAGCGGAAGGCCGACGCGAACTATGCCGACGAACCTCAGGAGGTGCCAGTCAGGCCTGGCGAAAGTCACGCGACACTACCTTAGCAGGAGGTCTTGATAGGTTTCACGCATCTTCATAGAGTTCTGTTGACGTGCCTCGTGTTTGCCGCCTTATCGGCCATGTCGGCCTGGTAATCAAACCAGACATGTGGGTTCTCGTCCTGCACTGTCCACCAATCAACCTACGCTGGTGTATACAGGTAGTACACATAGCACGACATGGCTACTGGAACTGGATACGAAAGGTTAAGCTCCAGCTCAAAAAACAGGCGAGACCTCAAGGATGCAGTTATACAAAGTACTACAGTTAAGACGTTGTTTCTGGGCTGATCCTTATGGTCGTGATGGAGAACTTGTCGTTGGGCGTCATTTTTGACTCCTATCATGAGGCCCAATCGGTATCCTACCTAAGGTACCTAGGCACTTTTCCCGGCACTTGGCAGCGAATTTATAAAACATCAAATACATACGCTTCCTCAACAAAAGCCCACAATTGCATCGCCATTCTGACAGCCATTTATCAAAAATAAATTGAGCTAGTATGACCATGCCTGAGGCTTGGAAAAAGCTCACTTGTACGTTCTCAGACTCGAATCGCCTGGTAATCAAGGATGAAGAAAGACGCCACTCAGCATCCGTAACATTGAATACCTAATTGGCGCTCACAAATAAACCCTCCTGGACCTGAATCACTGCCGACAGACTCCTTTGTGAAAGGAAGTGGAGTGGTCCGCGCGCACGAACCTCCAGTCCCTGAGCTGCCCTCGACTTGTAAGATCGACCACCTCCCCCAGAAATAGCAAGCGTACCTAAGGTACTTTAAATACTGTACTCCCACCAACCATACCTAACGTCAAAATCAGAGTTGCCTCAGGGGCAATTCCTCGCGATAGAGACTCGCACGTCCCTTGCTCTTCACCGTTGATCCTAAACGTCGCAGGGCAGGTTTAGCCTGTTTGAAACCTGTAAAGACCTCCTGTTGCGTGTCTGCGTGTGCAAGGGTTGGTGCTTGGCCATCTCGAACCGAGCGTCCACACCTGCCCACCCAACTTAAGGATGGGATGACGGCCTCTCGAATTGAGACGAGTAAAAGCGATGTGTCATGCATCTGCAATTTTCATTCCAGATTGCTGTTGGTGCTGGGACAGCCTGTCATGACATCATCATAGTCAAGATGCTCATAGGGACCGGAAGTCGTGTTGTGAATGTCCACCTGCAGAGGCAAGAACAAACTGGGTGATGTATACTGAATGGCTATGAACACACCCTTCACCTCCAAAGCTCGCTCAAGCCTACATGAGCAATAGTCCCACTAGAAAACGCCCTTAATTTGCCCACCAATGTTGGACCATCCTTCCGATTTGTGCTCATACGTCTGTTGACCGAGAACATCATTCCTTTAGAAAATCAAGTAACGCCACGGCAATGCGGGAGGTTTCAAAAAAGAAAACAAGATAGAAAAAAGAAGAAAAAAGCCACAGACGAATCTTCAAGTGAAAGATCCTGACTCTAGATGCAGAACTTCCTGTCCAACATTTGTAGCGCCTTGGCGTCGTGGCTCATGCCGCCCGGTCGCTCTGATGGTGCCGGTATAGTGCGAGGAGAACCATTAGGGCTACCTGCTCCAGTCACTGCATGAGGGAGAGCACCAGCCGTATCAATGCCGGCCGGTGCGGGATGGAGGAGCGCTGAGAGGCTGGCTTTATTGCTGTGTGAGACAGAGACGCCGTTATTGCCATGGCTGTCCGAGTGTGAGCTGCGAGGCGGTGAAATGGAAAGAGCTCGGTTTGGGGGCGTATAAGTCGGAGGATATGTGCCATCATGTTTGACAGCAGGAAGAGTATTCGAGTTGCGAAGACTAGAGTGGCTCCCCGCCGGGTCAATGCCAACAGCTTGCGCCGCCTGCGCCTGAAGATGCGCAAGTCGCGGCGAGCCGTCTAGCCGATGACTGTGCTGAGCATGTGAGATACGCGGTGACTGCTGCTGTGACTGATAAGGCGACGGAGCGAGGGGCTTCTGATGTGAGTTGAGCGGTGGTAGGGCTGTCCGCTCTGACTGTGGCGGATGCTGCGAATAATGACCATGGGCAGCCGCATGAGGGTGTCCTGTCAGAGAATGTGGAGGCGGCAGGGCTTGAGCGCCTGCTGGTGTTTGTTGCGGATGCTGAGAGTAAGGAGTTGCAGTGTAATGATGACTATAAGGCGGCGTAGCAACGGGCGAGGGTGGCCAGGCATAGCCTTGTGAATGCTGTGCGTATTGGGAGGCGTATGGCTGAGGAGGCAGGCCCTGCGGAGCATGCTGAGGAACCATATACGGCGAATGCTGAGAGACCATAGGTGCCCGGGTCAAGGCAGGGGTTGGGTTGCTGTCATGGAGGCTGGATTCGGGGTACATTCCCTTGACTGGTGTGATATTGCGCAGTTGAGAATCGGTACTGGGCTGAAGGAGGTCTGGCGAACCAGGTTGCGGCCTGGAGTAATAGGAGATGAGGTGGAGATGTTGGCCAGCTGATGTCGTGATGCTGAATGACTGCTTCATGAGACCGTCGGCTTTGTATCGGTAACCTTCAGGCTCGCCGTTCTCCTGGTCTTCGTCACTGCCTCGACCCGAATCGGGAGTCTTGGTAGCGCCCCTACGACCGTTGCCGAAGCCGCTACCGCGTTTGCCCTCCATCTCCCGGTAAGTGAGGAAGCTGCCGGATACTCTGCTGGCGCTCCAGGACTTGCCGTCAGTCCATCTCCTCATGCCAGCCTCTCGTTCATCCCAGACGAATACTGAGCCGGATCTGATAGACTGTCGCTCCTTCTCTGATAGCCTTCGTTGGACTCGGGGGAGGAGACCTAATCGGCAAGCCTCGAATAGCTTGATTGCATCGGCGGGGGTCCGCACATAGCCATGATAAGTTTCCATGATGGTTAATGCGTGCCCGACTGAAGTTGTAACAAAAGAAGTCTAGGCCCGCCGAGGCAAGAAGGTCTGCGATGACGAGGACTTTAAGCAGTGGCGACAGAGCAATGAGGGGACAAGACTCTGCGCGGCTTTGGGTGCAAGGTCGATTTTGAGCCAATACGAGCTCACAGACAGCACAGTTGGAGGTCTAAAGACAGTTGATGCGCACCAGGGTGTACCGTGGTGAAGTGAGCCTAAGAGGGGCAAAAATCCTGGTAGCTCCCCTATTAAAGCAAGCCGAGACGAGCCTGACGGCAAACCTTGCTTGATCTAAGCAGGCTGAAACGTCGTGCGGGAAGGCGGCGATTCCACGTCTTTTGCGGGCCAGAGGACCGTGGGAGGATACTGTCGCTAATGAGAGATGCAAATTAGTATTTCGATGTGAAAATAAAATAAAAGATCAGAAGCCCACGAGGCTGCCAGACATGAAGAAGAGATCTCGCGCCCTGAACGATGACAACAGTGTTTATGAATGAGTGAACCAGCGCGGGTCAAGGGCGATGAGGGTACAAGGAGGCCAGCTGGGCCATCCGAGGCGGCTTCGCTGCCAATAATATCCTGACACAAACCGACATGCAGCTTCCAGGGCAAGACTGCCCACTCGCCCGAAGCGAGGCCGCAGGCCTTGTAGGTCATGAGGTGACGAGGTAGCACTTGCACACATCGTGTACCAACCTGAGTAAGGCTGGCCCGTCCAATGGATGTCCCGAGTCGCTAATAAAAAGATGAAGGAGGGGGGGGGGGGGGGGGGGACGACGTTCGTATGGCAAACAATACCAAACTTTGCCGATCAAAATAATACAGATACAAAGGGACCAACAGCTTGGGAGGACAAGTTGCGCGGTGGGTGGAGGATTGAGAGCAACATACATTTGCATGCAAAGTGCACACAAGGTGTTGGTGGCTGAGCCTCAACGCTCGAACTTGCAGCGGGCGCCTCGGGCCAGATTCCGAGAGACGACGGTTATGTTTCGTTGCGGAGACGAGCGAACGAAGAGTGCTGATGGGATCGTAGAGGATTGAGTGGACGTTGAAGAAACAGTTTGTGGGTGTCTGCTGGTGTCCAAGGGAAAGGGATCGCGAGAGGAGGTGGAAGGGTTTAGACAGGCTGGGGCGGGTTACGTGGACGAAGAAGCGGTTTTGTCTCAAGACGCCTCTGGCTGGGGGCCTTCGGGCGTGGATATCCTGAAGGAGACAGACTTGCTCGTGACCGGCAACTCGGCTCCAACGGATCGCGGATGGCGGCCGTTCAGGCGGAAGGGAGATGGAGAAAAGGGCGGAGAGAGGGTCAATGAGAAATGGTTGTGGCGTCCCAGGGCGTCCAAAATCGTTTAAGCTTTTGGTACGGGCACGCTGCTGGTGTCGGTGTTGCCAGTGCTGGGGGGGTGAGGTGAGACGAGGGTGAGGGTAGAAGGGTAAGGGGGGGTGATGGTGAGAATGACTGCATGGGTGACGGATGTTGTTAGTTAGGAAAGCTAGACCAGGTGCTGAGACCCACTGGGCCACGCACGCACCGGGGGTGACGACGCCTCGAAAGACTGGGGCCGAAGCCGAAGCTCTTTGACTCGATGTGTAGGGGAACAGGGCGAGCGTGTGAAATGAGACGAAAGCATCGTATACGAAACATGACCGGGCCGAGAGCCAAGCAGGTTGAGAAGGATGGAAACGCCTGTTGCCAAAAGAAGCGATGGCGTGAAGTGAAAGGAAACGGCAGATATACTCACTCTGCAGAAAGACAACTGGGCCCGAGGATGGTGCTCCGTACCTGTACAGGTGCAGATAGAGAAGATGTGGTCGCTACTTAGGTAGGCAGGGCGGATTGGGTAGCAGATAGAGTCCAAGATGGCGCGATTCAGTGGCAAGAATAAGGTTGAAGTGATGTCCTGCAACGGGAATTGCAGCGTTCGATCTAAAGCTTATTCCGAGCGCCTGTCTGGTGAGCCAGGCTGTGCTAATAAGCCGAGCGTGCGGGCTAATTATTGTCTGGTACTTTGCGGGAGAGCACGCCCGTAACAACGACGTGTGGTTCTGGACGGAATTTGCCTCGTAGGGAAGGGGGTGGGCAGTCGGCGGTAGGCGCGTGTGGTCCGTTCTGCCTGCTGCGTCGTGTTCAATTGAGCCGTTCGAGCCGTTCGAGCCGTCCAATCCGCCAGGAGTCAAGTGTGTCTGTCAAGAGCTGATACTGCTCCTCGTGAAGATCCGAGATGGGTCCGTCCTCCCACAACAAAACGATGAATGGTGGAGACGCAGCAAGGGAATTGGTGCCCGTGGCAGGCTTCGGACGATTCTCTGAAACTTGCTTCTGGCTCGAACCAGTGTTCTCTGTCCTGGATTCTCTGAACACCAGCTGCTGGAGTCGTGAGGTCTCTGACGGTGTTGTCGAAGAAGGGGAGGGGAGAAGAGATCCAGCAAAGAGAAATCGCAATCTGGAAGGAGGGGCTATGGGAGGGAGCCTCACTCTAAAAAGGCCCCGCGAGATATGGATGAGGAAGCGGATCAAGAAGGGCCAAGACCAGGCCGGATGCCATGACAGAACAAGACAAACAAATCAAACCACTTATTTGTCCGTCGAGGGGAAGGGCCACAGAACATGGACAAGATTGGCAAGAATGGGGCGCTGGCAGCTTTGGCACACCTGGAAAGCGCCAGTGATGTGCACCCAAGCCCTGGGGGCCAAGCCCAAGGAAAGCGCCAAGCATCAGCAGCTTCCCCATAACGTGCAGGGCCGAGAAAAGCCAAGCACCCATGCCGAGCATGCCAAGCAGATGCCCCTCCCTTCTTCCTTACTCCCCTGACCATCCTGGGGTCCCTCTTTCCTGCGCTCTCTCCCTGTCGTGCCCCATCCATCGCGCCCGCCTATGCACACGCCTCCTGTCCGTCTGGTCTTATCGTGTCTTGTTCGCCGGGCACCAGGCGGCGTGCCTCCAGAACCTTACCACTATGTACATGATACCATGTTCAGCTTTGAGCCCCACATGCTCCCCACAGGGTCATGGCCAAAAACGACAGGGCGAAACCGAGGGTTTTCGTGTTCCCCCATCGGGAACGCACTGGAAATAAACACTTGCCCCCCAATTACGAAGACTAACATGCACCTCCACCACAAGCCTATTTCAACACTGGTCATCAGCCGCACTAATAAGCTTTTCCTTTGCTAGTGGCCCTCCATCCCGGACAGCACGGCATCTAGGCAACCTTAATAACAACAGACGCCAGTCAGTGTGTGAGTCAGTCGAGAGGTAGGGCTCCTTAGTAGAAGGCCACCGTCGCCTGCAATACCACCTAAGTTTATTCTTGGGAAGAAGGTTACTCGTATTAAGGTATGACGAGGGCCCCAGGGAGGATCCCGTTCCTGGTATTGTGCAAACAACGAGGGAGCCGGCTCAACGGTTCAACAAATTCTACCTCTGGTGCCTACTGCAGCTACTTCGACTAGGTAAGGTATGATGAGCTTGGTCGTTCTAGGCGGGACAACATGCACTACTATGTACGTACATCACAAAACCTCGTTCGGTTGCGCATTACCTTGCATCAGCGTCTGCCTCCCTGGGGAAAATGGGGGCACATACGCATCAGACAAAGCGGGAAGGATTTTTTGCTTCTTTCCTTTCCCTTTGTTTTCTTGGAGTCGAGCAAGGGTGCTTGTACGTAAACACGTGTCAACTCACCGCACAATACACGTAACGGTTTGCTTGCACACGCTGCATTTCAACGGCCCTGCCGTAACCCTCCTCCATGTTCTGCTCCCCATCCACTTTTGTAGGCCGCTAACCTTGTCAAGGAAGGCAACCCTAATTGTAGTGATTACGGGGCCATTCAGTCTCAGTCTCCTATTTGTGATGTGTGACGACTCTCGAGTCGTATTACCTAATGTCACACCTCACCAGGACCCATTCACACAGGGCTAGCCGCTGCGGTTCAAAGGAGTCTTGGTTGGTCCTTCGCAGTCCCAGGTCTCATTCCCCGAAACTCCGTCTTTGCAAAAGCTCGCGCTTAGCCAGACACCTACTCTGACCCTCGGTATGTGATCGCTAGTTTTGCGTAAGCCAGTTTGAACACATAAAGCAAATCGTGGCAACCACTCAGATCCATATTTTCTCGAGCCTCGGAACATTTCCTTCACCCGAGTCATCCTAACTCGATCGCCAGTGAGACCAGCCCCCCTTGATGACGCAACAGTGCCCACCTGGCCGATCTTCGTGCCGGTTGTTCCAGAACTCGGTCTGGGGATGCCGATAAGCCGTCCCATCATCCATCCACTGATTGCTATTGGATTTTTGGCAAGGTCACTGTCAACGCTGACAACCTTTCAGGGTCCAAGAAGACTCTTCGTGCTGCGCTCTTTCCCCCTTCACCATCGCCTGTGCCTTGGCGCCGAGGTCACTGATTTTGCACCACCTTGTACGATGGTAACGCCAACACCAAATCTGACCCTCGTACATCCAGTGATAGTTTGGTCTTACGATGAAGACGACGACTGTGATACAGTGTTCCGTTGCTGCAAATGAAGCTGTCCGTTCCATATTCGTGGGACTAAGCCTATAGGTTCTAGTAACGGGATGCTCCACATCGTGCGACTTCGCTACGATCTTGTATATTAGTGATGGGAACCTGCTCACCATAGCATACCATTTTCTTACTAACGTGTGCATTGCGCAGCTGCCTTTGAATTATGGTCTGCATAATCATGCACTCAGTCTCTGGTTTGAGTGAAACGAGCTGAATGTTTTTAAGCCTATAAACATGTGCATTAGCTCCAATCAGCTACCCTATAGTGATGAGGTTGGTGCCAAAGAACGACCAACCTCTGTATGGAGGCTATAGTGTCGCGGGACATCAAACCCTTTGGACTCTGTTCTTGGTTCAACGAGACACAAATGCTCATGAATCCAATTGCGGCTTCTGGGTGTGTAACTCCTGGACGTGTTGCCTTGGATGCTTGAGGTTTGAAGGAGGTACGCGAAACACACATCGGCCAGTTATTTCTATTGTAGAGCTGGACCTTGTGGGCATCTTTTGGAGCCATACGTAAACAAGCAAATATTGCTGTTTTATGTACCCAGGTATTGGTATAATTGACAGCCATCTTCCTTTTGGAATAAGTAACCAGGGTCTTGAGTATTCTCCGCAGATACAGGCGACAAACATAATCCTGACGTCTTGCTTGGCGTTGGATTTGCTAAACTGGGCATGGAGGACTGCATGGCACTACCCAGCCAAGACCGTCCTCGCAATGGTCGGTCTTGTCGGTCGGAAATCGGTGCCGTGACCCCACCGTATCCACCGTACTTCATGTTGACATGCACCAGGCTAATCCAGTCAGACAGAATTTTCATCCCTGCAGCAAGTACTTTAAACCCCGTTTCGTAACGAGACGCTGATCGGAGGGTTAAGGAACATTCAGCGATACTCTAGAAAAGGCAAAATACGGCTCTCTTGTCGTCTGATGTTGGCCATGTTTGCCAAACAAAACTCAGCCAGGAGGATATGACCAAAAATGCCAAGACAAACCAAGACGACCCGAGGCAAGCCAAGACGGATCTGCTGGCCTTGAGTGGGCTCCGGAGACGCCACAGCACCACGAGCAGGTTTAAGCATGAATTTAAGCGTGGTCAGCCACCCTACCTAGTGCTTCTTGGTATTTCTTGGCACGCCATGGGAAAAACGATCGACAGAGATTGGAAAGGTGAGGGTGTGTGTGCATAAAGAGAAGGCTTGACGCTCTGTACGGAACAGAACCTTCCCATAACGGAAGTGAGACTGGTGTGAATGTCGGCCCAGAGCATCAGCACTGCAATCCGCTTTGCTCCACGTCACTTGCGTAATTTCAAACCCCGGCCCTTCCGAATGGGTATCTTGGATCGCTCAATCCAGGTGACGTGACCATTTTCATGGGCTGAGGCTATCGGCTCATCTGCACATTGGTGTGGGCGTTTGACTTGTTACCGCAGCTCTGCTGCTGACCATGATGTGTGAATGGTGATGTACGCATACGGTACAGGATTGCCGCTCAAGCCACCCAGCGTCTGAATTCGCCCGTCCAACCCTCATCGAAGGTCACACCAACAAATGACTCGTCGCACCGATCTACCCGGTGTTCCAGAAAAATGTCACCAAAGACCCAAAGCAGAAACGTCCAGCGTTACGTTACGGCTAACCGGCACCATCAGTGATTGAAAGTTACATGTATGTTCGTGGGGCTAAACCGCGTACATACATTAAAACCCTTCGGCCGCACAGAGATTGATGCAATTACGGTAATCTCTGGCACGTCACCAGGCTTCCCACAAGGTTTTGACGTACCTACTCCAATAGTTCACTGAAGGGACATCGCATACTACTTGTAAACCAATTTTTGTCACAAACCTATGCGACTCACTCTAGTTCTATGATAGGTGTACAACGGTTGCAAACGTCGGCCAAACCACATGGTGCAGCGAGCCAGCCAAGCATCAGTAGCCAGTTGTAACTTGACTTGAATCAAAGGCCTGAGTTGGCCCCGTTCTCCGGTATCATCCGATGCAATCAGTATCAGAAGCACCTTGGGTGACTGATCTGCAGCACATGTTCGGCAGTCACTCGTGAGCTACAGAGTAGTCCCCTTGACAGATCTCGGCCGGGAAGCGATCACGTCGACGAAATAAAAGATGCCAAGACGGACGCCGTTTGAGTGATCGACCCCGCCGCGGAATCAATCCTCCCAACCACCAATACGGCCCCCGGTTAAGCGGCTGCTAACATTGAGAATCCTGATAGTGACCAAGGCTTCACGCCCTGGCGCGAACATTTTTTATTGCGCATACATGTAGAAGGCATTCTGGAAGTCAGCCCCCTCCCCGCTCTGCTTGGTGGCCCATTTGCCAAAGCGGAGACTTGTCCGTCTGGAGTGCATTAGCGGTCCTTGACGGAGGCGAAAAAAAGGCAACGAATGCCAGAAAATTGGTGGTGCACCCTACCATGATTAGTCAAGGTTTCTCTTCATCCATTCTGATCATGAATCCCTTATCACTTTAAGTTTGGGGTATTGTGGTCACAACACACATGAAGTATTGAAGGGCAAGTGATCAAATGCAAAGGGCCTCGGAACTTCGCCCTCTTCCTTGATCCTTAGCGATCCTTCTAGGCAAACGGAGCTACCACATTGTTAATTATACATTGCTTGTCACCTGGGATGCAATCTTTCAAGCCACAACTGACGAGGGCTGTCCTGGCTGCTTTCGCGTCCCTCATCATGTCAGCCTCCGAAGTGGATCGCTCGGCTACGGCGGGCCACGTGCATGCTTGTATTTGCCGTGTGTTCCTGTCCCAAATGCTTCTTTGGACCTGGAGGTAGGGTGGATGTGGCTTCTTTGTTCAGGGCTGCTGCTGGGCACCTCGTCGTCTCTCTGTTAAGATGACCGCTGACGACGACGACAATAAGTTCGGCTAGCGGGCGCTGGAAACTCTCCAGTTGTTTGTTCGCATGACTTTGTAACCACTCGCTTGGTTCATGCTTTCACGCCCTTTGATTAGACTGGCGTCACGGAGCTGCCCGAGAGGCTTGAGTCGGGTCATTAATGGCGGGATAAGCACACGCACAGGCCGCCCATGTCGGTTATGGGCTGAACCCTGACACCCCCTTTGAACTGGCTTTCCGCTGTCTGCTGCAAGGGAGGAGGAGGGGGTTTCCGAGACGAAGTCGACCCAGGGCCCTGCTTAAGCTTAATACAGCTCTACAACGCACCTTGCACAACGAGTCAAGACACAGAGCTCTTTGCAGTCGTCCCAGCCGAAGTTCACTCCTTGCATTGTTACCCAAACTGCTCGGGTCCGTGATGCCAAACAATCTCAAGGCTCGCGTTGCCTGAAGAGAAGCTCGGCAACATGAGCAGCAGGAATGCTGTCGTCAGCTTCTCAGGCCCCCTGGCACGACCAATACATCGCCCAGGAAGCCCAAGCCATGCGTGCCCAGGACTCGCAAGAAGCCACCATGTATCCCCCTTCCCCCGTAGGCTGATAGTCGAGCCTGCTCGCTCCTTTGGTGAGCAATCCGAAAGACACGACTCCTCCCAACCACCCACTTGTATGGCATGCAGGGCTACCACTCAAGGCGCAACAGCTTTAGGATTGGACTTGTCGAAGGGGGCACGCTATCTACATAGTATGGTGCCATTTCTCTGACGGACGCCCTCGTGGCACCCAGCGAGGTGGCCCGGCTAAGGCGGACCCGTTATCCAACATCCACGCAAACGGAACTGGCGTTAATTAGCAGGGGCCGCGCCGCAGGACGGGACTCTCCACTTGAACCTACGCTGTGTGTATCTCAATTGCGCTTGTGATTCTAGGTTGGGGAAAGGCTGGCCTCGGAATTCGGGTTTCACGGCACAGCGAGTCATGGGGGGAAATTTTGTCTCCTCAGTCCAGGTCCCGACACCTACCTTATTACTGCACCTAGTCGCCCATGGGCCTGTGACGTGGAGAACCCTGACTCTCTGTCAGTATACGTAGGTGACCCTTCTGAGGGTCAGCCCATTCTGCTGAATTGCAACAGGGTGCCTGTGGAACGGCTCTCTTTGACGCTTGAACGTACGTCATGCCGTGCCGGAGATGCCCCATTCTTCGGAGTTGACTACCATTGCGCCCACGACTACGACCACGACTGCCCGTCATATGACCCAAAGGCAGTAACGGAGTCTTGTTTGTTGCTCTGTCACACATTATTACGGCACGTTTTGAGATATTCGCCTCTTCCCGCCTGTATCGCTTTTTGCCTGCCGGCTAGTCATACATGTACATCCCATGTGCAGTGGTAAGGGGGACTGTCTAGTTGATGTTTGAGTTGGCTTTATCGATCTCCGCAGTCAAGGCCAGACCACGGGTGTTTCTCTGATGCAACCTGAGCTAGTGGCTTAACTTTTTCTTTTTTTGGCCCATTGGGAGTTTTGAACCACAAGACTTCGCCAAGAAGCTTGTATGGTTCCAATGACTGGCGGGGTCGTCATAAACCTTACTCAGAACGGAGGAGTTACGCGAGGTGGCTTTTTGAATGGACCTTCCTTTAACAATGTTTATAGGCTTCACCTCTTCTCGATAATCATCAGGATAACGGGCGTACGTGGCCAAGGGTGTATGTACGGTACATGTCGTGCTGTAGACATTACCTGACAACCGTAGGCAGGAGATTATGCAAGGCCAACTAAGAAGAAAGAGGCAGGCGACATGCCGAGCCTGCCAAGGTCAACTGCATGATGCCCCGACAATACATGGTGCAGATAAATTTGGATCTTTAGCAGTTGAGGTTATTGGACGTCATCAGATAAGGTAGGTAAGGTGAGACTCCAGCCACAATATAGATCATGGTTATCATGAGCTACATTAACCAAGCCGCTGCACAGCCCGTTTCCCACTGCAGGCCTGCTGGCGCGATTAATGAGACGATAACTCAAGATACATACAGTTGCAAGATTGCAATTTGACGATCAGGGCATATGGCGCAATAATGGGATAACCCAATTCTCGGCACTTCGTGAGCGCCTTCGACACCACAAATCCCAATCTACACAGGCGTAGAAAGCCATTTTGACGACATCTGAATATTCCCCCGGTTCCGTTTGGTAGAATGAGTGCTCATTGAAAGCCACCAAGCAATACAGCGCTTGGAGAGCCGTCATTTGCATAATGGTGCAGGTCGTCGTACAAATACATTGCTTCAAAAGTTTTCCGTTGGCGCCCTTCGTTTTTCGATCACTTGAACAGACAGAAGGAAATGCCACCACCCAGTCACCAACGCCTACTATACCAGGTTAAGCATGGCCTGCTTTTCGTGTGGCACAATATACGATCAGTCAGGCTGAAACACCCCGCACTGCTGGATCTAACTTTGACGAGGTTCCAAGACGAGGTTCCCAATCTGTACTACTCGAAAGAGTTTTCTTCTCGAAACAGCTAGAGGCTGTGTGACATGTCAAGACAGTTGTGCGGACATTTGCCGATCGTATTGTTTGTTTGCTGGTTCTGTCAGAGGCAAGCCACCAGCTACGAATGGACCGCATCGTACCCTGCTGCTGCATGCTTGGCGTAGAATTTGCAACAAAACAGAGGCATGGTGACACGTGTTGTCGTGGTCACACCAGTGAAGTTCGAGTCTTTGAGGGTACATGGGCGTAGATCACCGCTACTGCGATGCGGTGCCCTTGTCACACAGGCCCCTCTGTCACGATCCAAGGTAGGCAAAGATAAACGAAAGTAGCGGGCCGCCGAAACAGGGCTCGTGATGGCTATGAAAGCCCTCTCGTGTGCCTGTCACAAAGGCAGGCAGCCGATTCAGCAGTCACACCGCCCATGCCAACGGGGAAAGGCCACAACGTCCCGTATGTTTGGCACGCCGGCGAGATAACTTAGCAACCTGTCAAAGCCCAGGCCGAAGCCGCCGTGTGGGCAGGATCCCCAGCGTCGAAGGTCAAGATACCAATCTAGGCCATTGAATCCGGGAGTCGTGGACGGCCTGACCATCCCCCGAGCTTGCATAACCTCCTGGAGATCAGCCAGGCGGTGCTCACGCATGGAGCCGCCAGCAATCTCACAGAGGTCAGGAACGAGCAGGTCGAAACAGTCCACGGTCGCACCGCGCTCGTTTGCTCCGCTGGAGGGACCATCCCTCGTACCAGCGGTCTGGGCTGATGTCGCTGTGGGCCGCATGTAGAAAGCCTTTATGTCCCGGGGATAATGAGTGACAAAGACGGGCTGGTACATGCCGTTTGCGCCTGTTGAGCCCAAGGTTGTCGCGAGGTACTTCTCATGTTCGGAGTGCAGACCATCCTCCCATGTCGGCTTGTGCTCAAAACGGTGCTCTTGGGCTTGAAGGAGAGTAATTGCGTCGCCATACCGGATACGAGGCCATCTGGCAGACGACCTGTGCATCATGCCGGCCCAACGGCGCTCAACTTCATCTGCAGACACTAGGTCATCTTCTGCAGTCCGCGATGCATTACTAGAGACCCGCCTCTCTCGTAGCTCGGTGGCAGCACGAGCTCGATACATGTCGGTCGTCACCTCGCGTAACATGTCCTCCACTAGCTCCAGGACATCATCCATCTCGTCAACGAAGGGCATCTCGGCCTCTAGCATGTAGAACTCGCTCATGTGTCTCGAAGTGTCACTTCTCTCGGCTCGAAAAGTAGGCGATAGTGTCCAGACATTGCCGACGGACTGGGCGAGGGCTTCCAGATGCAACTGTGTCGAGACGGTCAAGTACCGGGGTCCACGAAAGAATGTGTCGGTTGTATTCTTTGTTCCCCTCTGCTTCCCTGGAGTATCGTCGATCGATGATTCCGGGTTCTGCACAGAAACATTGAAAACCTCGCCGCCACCTTCACAGTCTGAAGATGTCACAATGGGCGGGTGCGTCTGTGTAAAATCGCGGGAAGAAAAAAACCGAGTCAAGGCGTTTACAGCATCTGACCGCAGTCGAAGAATGGCGGCATTCAGAGGAGTTCGGGAGCGCAAGTGAGGAATTGTGCGAAGGTATTCGGGGGTCTGGTATTTCTTCTGGATGGGATAAGTCTACGAAAGGTGCCATGGGTCAGCAGGGTTCAGAGGGCGGCGCAGTGCATCACGGTGAAGCTGCTAGAACTTACAGATGAGTCGGAAGCACCGAGAATGTCAACTCGATCAACCTTGAGCTCGTGACTCTGATCAGTGGCGTATTTGGAGGGAACCCATGATCCGTGGAGGCGGACAGCAGCGCCAACCCTCAGGCCAGATCTATGCGGACGTCAATGCATGAAGCAACGAGATGAATCCGGGTGACAGTACCGGCCATTCATTTGTTTTGGTACCAGTGCTTGAAGAGGCTTCCGAGTAGAGCCATCGCCAACGTGGACAAACACATCAGCTTTCATAGTCCTTGCAGAGCGGACATAGCCATTGACTATGACATCAGTAGCTTCGGCTTCGGGCTTCCATTCGAGGAACTGCGCAACAGTGCGGACAGGCCTGACGGATGGCAATGCGTTGGTTGGACATGAGCTTCTGGTTGTGCGGCTACTGCTGAAGGACCTTGGATTTGGTGGTGTGAACCTTAGGCGGGAGGATGAAGCGGCCCCTGGTCTGAAGGCCATAGTTTCCAAGCTTATCGAGAGCACTAGTGCAGAAATGCGGATTGATATACTGTCAAGCGTGCAGAATTATGACAGAGAATTTATGGCTGTCATCGTGCGACATGAAGAGGGGCGGGGTTTGCAACAAGACGCAGGACGATGCTAGTGGCAGGTAGTCCATGCAACACGGATGCTGCAACAAAAAAAAAAAAAAAAAAAAGCTTTGGAGTCGTGAATTGGGAAACGAACACGCGACGAAGACCGCGACACGGATCCAGCTTGAGTGGAACTTAGCTAAGCCTATCATGGACCAGCTTCGCTCTAGAGCTTGGACCAGCTTCATGAGTTTGGGTTGGTACCTGAGTAAGGTACCTACCATCTAGGTAGGTAAGTAGGTACCTAATGCAAAGTACCTAGGTAAGTAGGTCGGTACCTAAGGTACATAGGTACCCTGGACCCCGACAAGCTATAGGTTCTTACCAGGCCGGAGCGTCAGTACTTCATCTTTGCTTGCTTGTGTTGTGCTCAGAGTACAGCGTGTCCGGTACTTTTACTGTGTAATCAATAGCCACATGGGTGGGCGCCCAGGACAAGGGGGGAAGGGGGTTGAGCCTGCCCGCAGCCTGCAGGCTGCGGGCAGGCTGAAGACAGCTCGATCCCCTTCACCCTGGACTCGAACGACCATCATCCATCGGTCTACTGATATTTTCCCATGCTGGCGTCCCGCGCACCTCCTTCATCGCCATCACCACCTTATTCGCCTTCGTTTGTTGTCAATGTCGTCATCTCGAGCGCGATCAATCAACGGGTCTTGACTTCCGACCGTGTCTGGTGAATTGGGCGTCTTGGGGCGCGCCCACCACACAAGTCGAAACTTGGCCTCCCTTGTTGTCTTCATTTGTCTGATATGACCGTGAACCTTGACCGGTCGTCACCGTCGCGAATCGACGCCGTCGCAACATCTTGCCTCGGGCCGCGTCTCTTTGCTAACCATAGGAAGTTAGTCTAGTTGCCTTGTCGCAGTCTTGTCGCGACGGCCGCCAGCATGGCAACCACGAGTTGCTGTTCCGGCTCGAGTGACGTCGCCTCTACCTAGTCAAGCCATCAGATCATACCGATCCCGCCCCTTTGCTTTGCTTCGCCATCTGGATCAAGCAACGACCTCCTGGCTCTGAAGGATCTGTGGCAAGTCTGCCTAGAATCTGTCCGTCTGGCGTTCCAAGACAACCTGCGCCTGAACCCTTCTCAGCTCTCCCACCCCGCGACCGACCTGACCGTGGACCCTCGACGCACCCATTCACCGCATCTTTGACTCCAGCTCCTGTGCAATGCCAACCCCCAAGAGACCCCAGTGTGCCATCCTTTCGAGCACACAGAGATCTCGTATAACGGCGGCACCTTGCAGGTCCATCGAGATCAAATCCCGCCAACCAAGATCGTGGATGCCATGGTCACACGGCCCAGGTCTTGTTGGCAGTGCCAGGCCACAGGCCTCATGGAAGGCAGAGACAAGAGACAGACAACAGAGACAATGGCAGACATGATCTTCCATCAAGTCCAACAGCTTCTGAACCCGTTCCTCCTCGCGGTCTAATCCCCCACCGCCTGTAAATGTCTGAGATCCGGCGAGTATTGGTGGTTGGTGCTACATCTCAATCGCTCTCCACCCCCACCGCTCTCGCCTGTTCTGGCCGCTCGCCTCTGGCATGCTGGAGGCGTTTCTTTTCTCACTTTATGCCCGGTCGAGTGCCGTCAAGTCGAAGGGAGTATTTAATAACCCCACGAGGGACTCCTGGAATGGGGCCATATGGTAGCTACATTCCGCCCTGCTCCTCACCCTTTGTATCGCGTTTCTCTGCCCACATCATCCCTTCGTCGTTTCCGACCCCGTCTTCTGGTTCACGATATTGCCTTTTCATCCACAATCACCACCATGCCCTCTTCCAAGCCCCTCAAGATTAAGCCCTCCGAGGTGGCTGCCGACACGAAGAGGAAGCTCATCCCCGAAGTCACAAAGCACTACCGTAACAAATGGCCCCCTTACTCGTACTTGTATCCCCAGCCCCTTGTTGACCTCCCCCTACCCCGTGGACCCCACATGCACCCCGATCTCCCCAAGTTCCGTACGTACAATCCTAGCCCTTCCTGGAAACTGCTGGACAACGTCGTGCTGACAACAGATATGGACGTCTATTCTGGCGACCCGGTCAACATTGCTATCAGCTGGGCCGAGTCCCTTGGTGCCGCCGTCCCCTTCATCTGCTCAGCAAATGAGAAGCGTCCCGGTGGTGATTGGGAGACGGGAGTCGTTGGTTACGAGGTAGGCGCACCGACTGTTGTGGCACCGTTGTCCCGTCACTTCTTCGGTCTGGCGCAGAAGTGCAAGTAAATGCTGATCGGCCTCGGTACCACAGGAGAGGTTGTGTCGCCGGAGCAATCTGTCGGCGACACTGAGCACACCAGATCCGGCCACTTATGTCGACTCCAACTATCCCATTCCTATTGAGGGTGCCATCTACTCTCCGCATGTCGGTAGGTTTTCAAGCATGAGAGACGCGCCTCACAGCGACATGGGACACCACAAACTAAGTTCGAACGATAGTACGTTTCCGTCATGACCAAGACCGCATCGAGTCACTAGACGTCAAAGACTGGCAGTCGCTGCCTGTAGTCTCGATGCCTCCTACGAGGTGGCCTAAACTTACCGATGGAGGTCGGAAGTACTCATTCGCGGAAGAGCGACAGCTCGTCATGAACAAGATGCGCGCCGCCCTAAGGATTTGCGCCTATCAACAATTCCGCTATGTCGTTGTGGGCGATTTTGGTCTCGGGAATGGCTACAGGAACCCGCCAAGAGAGCTTGCCGAGCTTTGGCGGGAGGTGCTGTTGTGGGATACGGATCTTCGCGGCCAATTCCTTGCTGTCGTTTTCGTTTTTGAGGACGAAAAGCAAAGCACAGTAAAGCACATTCTCGACGACATTGCTAAGAAGAACAAAGGCGGAAGCAGCAGCAGCAGCAGCTCAAAAAGTCGGTCCAAAAGCGGCTCGTCATCCTCAGGGAGTTCAAGCAGCAGCTCGTCGGGGCAAAAAAGCGACTTTCGGGTCTTCAGCGAAGTATTCAACGACACGGAAGTCGCCAGGGTGCGCAACCAGATTGATCCACGATATGGCTTTGCGACCATCATGGGGGGTGCTTGAGCCTCCAACTCTGGCGGGCAAGGATGCTGGCTTGACCCCTACCCCCCCCCCCCCCTACAAACGTTACCCCCCAACCACACCTGTCTTTTAAATAAGGATGGGGCCCGGGGTGCAGGGGGGAGAAAAAAGCAGGGGAGAAAAAAAACTAATATAAAGTTACCCGGGGCTTCGTGATAGCCAGGGCTGGTGAGAGGAGAGAAGAGAGTGGTGAGGAGCAAGAGGAAGTAAAGCCGTCTGGCCCACGT